ACACAGTGCAGGCCTTGCTGGCAGCTCTGGCCCGCAGCAGCTGTGACAGCTTGCCACACAACTCCTGGCTTTAATGCCTTCGTGTTCCTGAAGATTTCAAGTCAATCATCTAAAGAGCATTCCCGGATCCTTTAAAAGATGCAACACACGGGCCAGGACTCTATGCCTTAATATAGTCATATCCCCCCCCCCCACACACACACACACTCAGCTAACACTTCAGTTCTTTTAGCACATCCACGCAAACACCATCTGATCACAGGTATTATCAGTCCCCTATGAACGGTCAGCTACTTCAGTTTCCTTCCGTTCTTCCCGATACTCCCGCAACAGTATTTTAACCATTGCTTCATGAGACAGACAAAAGCTTCTTCAAGCTGTTTCCTCAGGCACTGCCACATTAAAATTTTCCTGCAATTTGCTTCATCCCATGTTATGAGAAGGAGGATCTATTTCAACACTCTACCACAAATTTTAAGCACAATCGCATCAATTCAAATGCATCAGCATTCCCATATAGTTTGTAAGTTTAAGATAATCAAGAAATAAAGATATTTAGTAAAATTTTTCTATCTTCTGGCTAGTTCACTTTTAACAATAACTATGGCATTATGACCAAGTTCACACTTTCCACTGGTTCCCTAATTTTGAACTCTCTTCCAACTCCAGAAAAAAGTCTATGCGATCTCAGACCTAAAATAAACAAGTTTTGCTTTTTAAATGTGAAAACTGAAATGAATTATCCAGTTCTGAAACTTCAAAACTTAAGAGACTCCTTTAAGTGTSTTGCCACTTCTAACAGTAATATAGAAAGGCATTATTCAAGACTTTTAGAACGTCTACAGCTATTTTTCAGATCATCCTATCACAAGAGCAACAGGCTGACACTGATCCCTTTTTTTTCATATCGTTCATACTCACCTGCAAATTTTAGTGATTAGATGTTTTGAAAGTTTATCTCATTATTTTTAGAGCACTTCTCAGCAGATTCTCAAGCCTTGGAAGAAGGCTACAAATTCAAGGCTTCATGAAAATAAATAGAGAGATGACCTTAGTATCAGTTCTAGTTCTGGGGCATCTTTTTCAGATTAGGTACTAGGGTCATACAGAAAACAGCTCATTACTCCGGGACAGAGAGCAAAACATTTGTATGCATAGATACATACCTATCCATAGACAACAGACAGGTTGTTAAAGAGCTACTAGAAAACACAATTTAACAGAAACACATTTTTCCCATCCAGAGTCAAAGGATGATCAGCTTGTTAGAAAATGGCCACACCACACATCTCAAGAAATACTGAAAAGTTCTTTTTTTTTCCCCTCTCCAAACACAGACCTGCACTTTCAACAACTGCAGGTCACTAGACAACAGGTTCCATCACATATTGCTGCAAATGCTGTAAAAAAGCAGGATCACTAATAGGGCAGGTCTGGGAGGCAACTGCTACACCTCCAGTAAAAGGCAAAAACCAAATATTAAAAGGATATTTTTCTTTCTGTTATAACACATACACTTACTTTATACTCCATCTTTCTTCCAAGGCTACTAGAGACCTTGATAGAGACCAGTATAAGCCTCACATTGAACCAGCAAGCCTTAGCAAAGTTTTCTTTGAGTCCTTTCCAACTTAACTTTCAGATGGCTGATTTCTATACATATCAGGAAGACTTCTCATTTTCAGATAAGCTGCCCTTTTTCTTTCCTCCTAAAATACAAGATTTCACACRACACAAARAAAAGCATCACTGAAAGTCATCTGAAAACAGATAACTGAAATGTTCACTTTCTAAATGYATCTTATTCAATATGTAACTTTGTCACTAAGATAAGATTCAGATCTGTTCTGCAGGATGGTAATTGACAAGGATTGTGGATAGCAGCACACATTATCTGAAACGAGCTCAACACACACACACACACACACAAAATGCTCCCAAAAGAACACACAATCCCATAGCTTTATTTTATGTAAAAGCTGTAATCTCAGATGTCCTGCTTATGTTGTTTGGTTGTTTATTTTTAATCACTTTTTTTTTTTTTTTTAGTGTTCTTCTAATCAAACAAGGGACTGCGTTTTTGAATGACCCCCACTGCTTACTTCAAAWCTTGTTCAGACAGGTTTATATCTCAGCTCAGGGACCGAAGCCAAACACAACACAGGTTGCGGAAAGAGCACAAGCTGTTGCTAGGCTGAGGTGTAGCAATCGAGAAACCTGGAGAACAAGCACACGGAATTTCAGAAAAAAGCACCTGTGCCCAAAGCACAGTCCTGAACAGGAACCTACATGGATGCGAGAGAGCCAGGAAGGGAGACTAAGCTCTCTCTTCACCAACCAGAGACAATACAGGACGCAAACAGTTGTCACTCTGTGTACACTCTCTATCCTACATCTTCCTAGTGCCTACACATCCTATGCAAACACAAAAGCAGGACACAACCACCTGGAAAATTCTTCCTCCTTGGGAATAGCACCTGCCTTCCAGTGCTTTACCGGCTCATTTCTAACATTCAGTACATGCTTTTACTACCTCGGCAGGCAGCAGCTGCTAAGATCAGGAAAGGCTTGTTGGTATTTCCCCTCTGGGGGCTTTTTAACTATCTCTAAAGCCATAGAGATGCACAGGCATCACTGCTGCTTCTCCAAGAGCTGGTGAGGATAGGAGCCTCCCTTGTTTCAACAAGGAACGTGGCAAAGGCCACCAGCAACAGCAGCAATGAGCTCCATGACAGATGTCCAGACACCAGTCAGGGAARTGGGAAGCAGATTCCGCTGTAACACACCTAGAAAGCTACCTGGGCACTCGTCCTTATGTCATCTCCTGCCTTACGCTTTAGGGCCTTTTAATTTCCAAAYGCTTTCATGCTAACTGCAAAGGCAGAAAAGAATAAAGCACACGTTTCCGTGAAGCTGAATATTGCAATAACTTATGCTAAGGACTAATGACTTTCTATTACGGAGCCTGAAATAAACCTTGATTCAAATGACTAATTGTTGTAGCTTTTGAGGAAAACAACAAAAGAAAAATTAAAAAAAAAAMCCCAAAGCTAGAGAATTTCTSATACAAGTGATAGGAAACAGTGCTCCTCATCTAYACCCGCAGCTTCTGGGGACCTGGAGCGCTGGAGCTGCTGGCAGCACAGGGGACAGAGGGTGTCTCACAGGCCCAAGGGGCAGCAAGGAAAARGTCACATCTGGGAACACATAATGAGAGCCTTCCCCCAAGGACCTGCTAAGTGCCAGTTCCCTTCAAGTCCCCAAGCACTTAAAAGACAGTTTTTCTCAGTTACATGTAAATCTTCACCTCGAATCTCAAACAAGACCACGGAAAAATAAATAAAATACAAGATCCAGTTGCTGCAAGGCTTACGGTTTCCCCTGAGTCCAGGTAAAACATCAGATAACTCTTCTGTTGTTTTTTTTGGAGTCTTGTCTGAGAAAGTTGCTTTTCAGAGCATTTCACAGGTTGGTGACGTAGACYGAGTGCATAATTAAATCACACCTAGAACAGGCCATGGCAGTGCAAAATGCCCTCGTGCTGCCCCTCATCACCATGATTTAAGCACACCAAAGGAGGGAAGAAAGGAGATTAGATATGAAGCCTTGAACTCAGGCTCCATAACCTTCTTACCACATAACTGGCATGAACAGATCCCTTCAGTGACAATTACACTGGATCCGGGGAAAGGATGAGAAGACTTTCCTGCTCATCACTGACAAGCATATCAAGACTTTTATCTTTTGCTAGGTTACTTWGTGAAGATCTAAACCAAGCAATTAAGCATAAGGACACACAAGGGATGAACTTTCCAATGCTTCAACTCCTTTCTCCACCTTGCTTACACAGAATTTCTCAACACTTACCATGCATCAGTTAGCAAAAAAAATCAACACCTCTCTGTTGCTAGAGAGCTGCTGGAAAACTCACCTTAACAGAGTGTATTTTTCCTCACCCAGTGCAGAACACAACTTATCAGAAGGCAATCCCCAACAACACAATCTCCAGCGACATTGAAAAGTTCCTCCCATCAGACATAAGAACACTTAACCTGAACACCACAAGTTGATTAAAACAAACAAACAAAAACTCAGAACAGCAYTCAGATAAATTGTACCAGAAAGAGTGGCCTAATATCTGTACATGCACATTTTAAGTTCTTCTAATTCTTTCATCTAGAAAGAAGATGAAAACACTTTCCAGTTACATTTCATACCTAAAGTGCTCAAGGTCATGGAGCAAAAAGAAAAAGGATTAGTAAGTCCAGATTGTCAGCTCGTACTACTAAACCATTCTTTTGAAAAGACTTTATCGCTTTTCTGTTTTTAAACAAATACTAAAGGTGTTCTCTCCAGTTCTTCACTCTTCTCCCCCTGACAAAATGCCTACCTTGTGAAGAGAAATGAGGTGGCTACCTCAACTGCAAGTAAGGGAAGGCACAACACACACCTTGAGCAGTAGGGTCTTCACCTCTGCACAGGCACCCCCAGCCCTATTTCCTCACTGCCTATAAGCAGCCTCGGGAGACAGACTGGTACAAGCCCAGATTTGGGAAGATGACTTTTGAGCTGTAACTGTTTGTGCTATGAACTTGTCTATAAAAGATTCAACAGTTAAACCACAAGGAAAAGTGTTCTGATGGAGTTTAAAGAAAAATTAGGCAGAGCTATCTCAGAAGTGCAAGGACAATCTAGGTCAGTAAATGTGGTTTTGCTTAAACCAAAGTGTTGCAGAGGGGGTTTCTTGSGGGTAGCAGGAGGAAGGGCAGAAGAAACTGCTTGGTTACTCACTCCTTCCACCTCCAATCTCCACCTCAGAGCAGTCAGACCAGTGGCCTGGTTCAAGAGCTCCACGTAATAACCTGTGGACCACGCTCCTTTACTGACACCTCCAGAACTGCTAAGGGCACGGGGCTGACACAGCACCATCCCCACACCGYGCGCAATTCCCTCTCCTGGACAACCTCCTTGTGCTCCAGCTACGTGCGCCACCGCTCCGGTCACACCGTGAGCAACGGCACTACGTGTTCAGCGTTGCTCTGAAAAAAAACAAGACAAAAGAAACGCACAGAAAAGCCCCCTCTCCGCACACACCCTTGCGCAGAGCCCCGGCCCCGGAGAGAGCCCCACAACCTTTATTATTTTTTCACGCTGCCCATCGGGAGCCAGGAGCAGGGAGGAATGCGGCCACATGTTAGTCTCAAGTCAGCGACGCAGCAATTCGAACGCAGCCTAATGCCAGCGACCCAGTGCGCGCTATTGTGCGACGGAGGTAGCAAAGCCGGGGAGTCAGCGACGCAGCAATTCGAACGCAGCCTAATGCCAGCGACCCAGTGCGCGCTATTGTGCGACGGAGGTAGCAAAGCCGGGGGAAAAAAAAAAAAAAAAAAAAAAAAAAGATGATATATTTAAATAAAACTCAAAGGCAGCGGCACCGCGGAGCGGAGGCGCCGGTGCGAGCGCGGCGCGGGCTCCCGCGCCGTGAGCGGGGCGGATGCTGCGCAGGATCGGGATCCTGACCGGGATCCTGACCGGGATCCTGACCGGGAGCCCCCTCCGCGCGGACAGGGCGCCCCCAACCCGGCACCCCTTCCCGCCCGCCGCCCCGCGCCAGCCCGGCAAAGTTTCGCGCACCGGGGCGGCCCTTCCCGGCGCCGCCGCCCGTTAACGCCCCGGGCGGCCCGCGCGCCGCGGCACCAACGGCCGCCGG